GAGAGAGAGAGGGGAATGGCGTGGGCCCATGCGCATGCGCGTAAGTAGGCAGGCGAAGCATGCAGCCGCTGTAGAGGAAACGCAAAAGTTATCGCTGTTGAGGAAAAAAAACCCGACAAAGTCTGCGTTTAATTCGTGAAATGAAAAATTTTAGATATCACATTGTATGTTTTGGGATGTTTAAAAAGGTTTTCGGATATTAATAAAAAAACTAATTATATAGCTCGTCTAAAAACTGCGAGACAAATTTACTAAGCCTAATTAATCTATCATTAGTGCATGTTAGTACTGTAGCATTTATGGCTAATCATGGACTAATTAGTCTTAAAACATCTGTCTCGTGATTTTCAACCAAACTGTGCAATTAGTTTTTTTCGTCTATATTTAATACTCCATGCATGTGTCGTAAAATTCGATGTAATATTTTGGGGTAAAAATTTTTAGAAACTATACCAGACGAAAGACGCTAACAACCAGGCCGCACACGCCTGTCCTGGTACTTTTTTTTTCTTTTTATTGTTATTTTGTATTTTTCTTTTCACTTTGTCTAATTTTGTTTTTAGTTTATCATTGTTAATTTAAGTTTTATTTATTGCTTGTCGATTTCAGTTTTTTTAAATTTTCAGTTATTTGAGTTTGTTTTCTTTTTTTTAGTTTTCAGTCAATTTTTTTTATTTTTTAGTTTTAGTTTTCAGTTAAGTTTTTTAATGTTATTTTAGTTTTAGTATAAGACGGTGTAAGCGAAACATTTAGTCGCTGCCCTTTAATAAATGTGGTCAGGTTTAGTAACTTTCAACTGTCAGATTGATTGCTGATGTGTTTATTTGCCTGTAGTTTTATTTGGCCGTTGGATCTACATCATGGTAATGTATCAGGTGTAAATCAATTAACCTGTGTAAACTTAGAAACTACCAATCAGGACCACTGGATACTGATCTAATGGATAGAGTGAGGGATGAGATTTTTTTATGCTTAAACGTCCCACCCGCCGTCCTTTTTTTTACGCTTAAGCCCCTCACCGCATCCATTAGATCAGCATATAGTAGTCCTTATGGGTAATTTTTAAATTTGCACAGTTTAGTTGGTTTACACCTAGTATGTTGCCCTACATCATAGGGTTTAAAATTCGTATGTTTTTGTTTGCTCCAACAGTTTCTAGGTTCTGTTTCTGGGTTCTGATAGAATCTGGTTGTTTTTCGCTCTGCCAACAACCGGCTGTTTGGAGGACTAAAACAACCGACTATTACGTAGGACTCTTATAAAACTTTATGTTTTTGGAAGAAAATATTGAGTACTCTTGAGATACTTTAATGCCCATTTGGACGTAGATACTGAGGCGTGGAATTTAAAATTCGAATTGAGTTTTTTCAACTCTACTGTTTGAATGTGTTTGGCATCGCGAAATGACATTGACCCCTCGTTACAAGGCATTCGACTACAACTAAAATTGCTCCCCCTCGATACCCTATTGGACACAAACCAAAGCCACGAAGCAGTATCGAACCGCCATAACCGTTGGACCGCCGCCGCCGCCACGACCAGAGATCGCGCTGGAGAGCTCACTGAGGGGAGGACGGAGGAGAGCTCACGCCGCGACTGTTCCCCGCCGACTCCCGGCGGGAGAGCTCGCATGAGGGAGGACGGAGGAGCTTGTTCAAGTCCGGCCATCTTCCTCAAGTCTGGGATCCCCTTCTTCCTCAAGCCCGGCCACCGTTGAGTGCGAGATCCCCTTCTTCCTCAAGTCCGGTCACATCTGGATCCGCTTCTTCCTCGCGCTCGATGTTGTCTGGGCCGTGCCGGGGCACGGAGAGGGTCGCGAATCCCAGCTCCACGCGGGACCCCGCTCCGCCGCCGCCGCTCTTCGTGCCTTCCGAGCTCCACGCAAAAAGGTGCCTCTCCGTGCCTGCCGTCGTACGTCCTCACGCATCTCGTCGAAGGAGCTGAATTCCCAATTTGACGAAATGTACCGCCAAACATGATTTGGTATTTTTCATGTCCCAGACTCCAAATAACAATTTCATCTGCATCCAGATTTGGTACCGTAGCTTATTTCCAATACTAGTCGGATTTGGTATCGGTGCCTAATTCAATGCCACCTGTCCAATATCTACATCACCTTAAAGGAAAAGGTTTTAGGATGCGAGAAAAATCCTTTTTTATCACGTGGACTATTTCATAGTCCAAACTTTCTCTTTGAACTATAAAAACCTGTAAGCGACATCCTCCAACTCTCAAAACCATTTAACCTACCTTCCTGCCCCGGTTAGAAGTAGGTTTCAAGGTGGACCTATTATTTTTAAAACTAAAAACTTTCCATAAATATCTGATAAATTTTCTAAATCACAAAAAAATATTTGTAAGCATATAAAAGTTTTGAGTATAATTCTAGAGATAGATTTCGACATGATCAAATCAAATAAAATATTTAGAGCTCGTGAACTGAAAATATCTCAAAAATTATAATCAATTCCTAAACGTGTTTTAAAAACTTTCCATAACAAGAACATAAGTTGTAACCAACATGAATAAATTCATTCAGCATTATGTTGCATTCATGCTAGCCACATCTTATATTTTTATCGAGGAAAGTTTCTAAACCATGGTTAGATATTGATTAGAATGTTTTGGGAATTTTCCATTTTGTGTGGATATATTTTCCATTTTATTAGAGTAGAAATTATTTTTTGGGAGCTTATGTATATATTTTTGTGTTGTCTAAATATTTTGTTCGGGTTTCTCATGTCCCAATCTCGAGGATTTTTTTCTCAAAATTTTTAAAATATAATAGGTATTTTTTGTGTTTTATATACTTATTAAGTGTTTATACGATCCTTTTAATTAAAAAATGACAAGACTACCTTGAAAATCACTTTTAACTGGACAAGGGAGGTAACTTATACGGTCTTGAGAGTCGAGGGAGACAATTTGCCTCGGTTTTGAAGTTCGAGGAGACCTGGACTACGATGATGTACACGTCTGGCCCCCATTTTGGTGATTATAGGATTTTGATGAGCACACACATTGTTACTAACATATTTTTTTAATTAAGTGGTTAATGCAACTAACTTAGTAACAATGAGAATGGCCACAAGTATGGTGGCCCCCTTCCCCCCTAGACTTGGTGATTGATCGAAGCATGGCGCAAAGTATAGTTGTGAAGACTAAGGACAATGTAGAGTGAATCCAAGCTAGATACATGGGGCCATTAGGTAGTAGCGTATGTATTATGGCTTTGTTTTCATTTGGCTATACTATTAAGGGGGTCCAAGGTGGTTAACTTGAGAGAGTCGAATCGAAAGCATGTGGATGCACAAGAGGCTAACTCTTAACTGAATTCATGGTGGAAAGTGGCCCCAGGATATTAAATAAGTTGGATCGGTCGAGATCGGACTTGAAATGCGCTGGCAAACTGCTCTAGAGCATGTACCTAACGATAGGGTTCACCTCGGCGGATTGTCTATTGATATTGTTTCTAGGGCAGAGGTGACTTTGTCTCAGTGACCAGGTGAACAACGTATGATCAGACAGAGGACTGTATGACCTAGGCTGATCATTCGATGATTGTCTACGTCTGCGAGTTTTTTTCCAAGGGTAGCAACCTATTCACCCACTATATAATTGCTCGTATCACCTGATTGTTAAGGGTGGCAATGAAGGTGTAGGGGCAAAAGATGGACCAAGGAGGGAAGTCAGGGGGCTGACAGGGTACCCCTTGTAGCCTAAGGACAGGACAGGGACAGAAGTGAGAAGGAAGAAACCCAGATGAAATCGAGAGGGTAGGCACCATTTCATTGAATCTACACATGGGAGGGAGAAGGGAGGGTAGGGGGGCGGTGTCTCAGGGTATGGCATTATTGCCAGGCAATTTTACATGCAGTGCACGAGGGCAAAGCTGTGTAATTCCTCTGCACAGAGACCATGGTCGAGCTTGAAACTTCGTCCAAGCTGCGATGCGCCACAGAGAGATCATGATCTTTCACTCACGCAGCTGAAAGTGGTGGCACCTCGGCACCTGACATGCAAATGCAATGCGCATCGGACGCACAAAACAAATGTCCCCTCTTTCGTCTCTCCTCCTCGGCCGGCGTCATGGCGAGCACATGATGCCGGTGCCGAACCACCACACCACCGACCCCGCTGCCTTGACGGTTTGACCGACACGCGTCACCTAAAACCAAACCCTCCTCCTTTCGAGCTCTGGGCCTCCAGCTTTTGGAGATCCGGTGACCTTGCTCGATCCGATTCGCTGCGCTCATGGTCATCCACACGCCGTTTGGGGCACCATCGGTTCAGACCTCGCTAGCTCTCTCTCTCTCTCTCCCTCTGTCTCATGTGTTTACTCTGATTGTCTGGGCTTCATCGCAACAGTAGTAGTAGTATATGCTAGCTCCGTACTTGCTTCTCGGTCGGCATGCATCCATGGTGTCTTGCTGGTCTTCGTCCTCTCCCAAACCGACAGGGCACACAGAGCCAGTAAAGGCCTGGAGCATCAGCTCGTGAAGGCGGTTGGTTTCACTTCAGTTCCTTCCTCTCAGTCGCAGTGTTCTTGCGAGGAACGCAGGAAGACCTTCCACACCCCACATTTCTCCCTGATCTGCGCTTCTGCGGTGAATGTGATCCAGGAAAGCAGCAAAGCTTTTCAGCAGTCCTTCCTTGCTCTCTGGTAAGCACTCTTTCCGTCGGTTAACTTGCATCCTTTCTTACAACTACTAGTTGTTTCCTAGCTCGGTTTAGTTTCTTCTTAAAAAACATAGCTATAAGCACTCTGTCTTTTATACTCCTGCATTGCTTGAGCAGCATTGACATTGAGCATGTAATAGTTTCTTTGGAGACTTGGAGTGCAGTGCATATAGTTCATCGTCAGACTGTGAAGTTCACATGTTTCTTGCTGCTCTTGAATTTTTTTTCTTTGCATGGTACTTGAAGCTAGGTGTGCACAGCCAACACTTGAAGTAAAAGTCTCCAGTCTCCACACACTGTCGAAAGAAAACCAGCACACCATGCTGAGGCAATCGTCAGGCAGGAGCCACAGAAGCAAGAAGCTCCGGGCAAGCCACAGTTTCCAGGCGTTCCTGCTCGTCGCCGTGGCCATCTGGATCGTGTACCAGCTCACGCATTCGTACGGCGAGCGACGGCCAGTGTCTGTGGAGACCGGCAGAAGTGACGCCGAGCCGGCGCGGCGCCGGCTGGGCAGGAAGGGATTCGTCCACTTCGCAGGGCACGCCTCCGTCGATGGCATTGCTGGGGCCGGCGAGTCGTCGGATGATCCTCTGAGCAAGGCTGGCGACGAAGACGACCGAGAGGGCGATGAGGATGATGGTGCCGATGGTGACGTTGACGACGCGGACGACGGCCTCGCCGTTGCCGCTGATGAAGAGGACGATGGCATAGATTTCCAGTCACAAGACGGCAGCCGTGAGGACGATCCCAAGGCCGTGCAAGGAGGAACTCAGAATGGACTGAACATAAGCACTGTTCCTCCGGTGAACGGCACCGGCACTGTGCAAGATGGTGCTGACGTTCTACTGCGCAGTGCGACTGGCGGTGCAGGTGCAGCAGATGGCAATGGCACTGTTCCAACCCGGAGTGGTTCTGCTTCTGCCCTGAACAACATTTCATCTGTTGATGTGGCGTCGTTGCGTGACAGAGGAACAGCTGGTTAACTTTCCCGGAACAGCTGGTGATGTTGCGAACAGTTTCGCTCTAGGGGTACCTGGAGCAGAGGAGAAACCTACCAACACGGATGACTCTGGACAATGGCATCTCGACATGAGAATGCACAATGCTACCGAGAACGGGAGAACTCTATTTTTTCATGCTGATTGTACAGCGTGCTCAGACAGAAGCGCGCATAGCTGACAAAAAAACTGAATTTAGTTTATCTCCACCTTGTACAGACCGGTTTTTTGCTCAGATGTCCTATCCACCAGAATGGGAGATGCTACTGTCCGAAGCATTGTCTTTTTCGTGCAGCAATAATTCCTGACGATGTCTCACCATTCCTAAACTACAATTTAGCACAGGAAAGGACACATTTCAATGAAAAAAAACGCAGAAAACAGGGGTGGGGGGGTGTCCCGCATTTCAAAAGGGTAATAAGTTGGGATTTACTAACACTAGCGACCCCTAAAAAATTACCTTGCCCCGCCACCATTTTTGCAGGAAATAAACAAAACAAACAATTATTTTCTGCCTTGATAGTTGGTACCAATAGCAACTTGGAAATTATCACGAGCACATGATGCAATCTGAAGCCATCAGAATGTAATAACAGCTTTTTGATAATTGTGACACCATTTACTGAAACCGGGCAAGACCAACTTACATGTGATGTTTGATGTGGACAGGAAAGAAAAGAAAACAAGCCGGTAACAACTAACAACACAGTTAAAACCTGACTGTGAATACAAGAGTTTGGCCATTCTTATTTCTTGTTGCAGCAAATAGGTCTCAAAAAGAAAAGAAAATCACCGAAACAACGAGATAACTCTTTAAAGCATGCACCAGCTCCTGAAGGTGTGGTAATCAGGGCTCAATGGTGGTCCTTCTTCTCAAACAAGCCATCAGGACCTGCATTACACAATTGTATGATGTATCAGAAATGGAAAAAAAAAATATTCATAATCGATAACATGAAGTGTTCTGCACTTCTGCTCTAACCAGTCCAAAACCACAATAACATTTACTGTTCACATAGATGATACAAAAGAACTCTCTGGATTCTAAAAGGCATTTTCTATTAAAATATACAAGACAAAAGCTGCAGTGCTTATTGAACAATAATGGAAAAGCAGTTTGGAGTGAACATATATTGCATACTACTCCCTCAGTCCCAAAAAGGATGCAATTCTAAGTTTGACTAAATTTATATAGAAATATATTAATGCTTATCATACTAAATAAGGTTCATTAGCTTTGCCATGGAATATATTTTCATAATATACCTATTTGGAGTCTTAAATATGGATACTATTTTCCACAACAGTCAAACTTAAGTTAGTTTGACTCTGACCAGACCTAGAATTGCATCTTTTTGGGATGGAGGTAGTACAACATTGGAACAGATTACAATGAAAATACTAATGCATGCTTTTCGAGGTATTTTTGGAATTTGTGTGACGTACGGGTGAAAAGTAAGACACACTTGATATAGGCATATAGCATGTATGAATGCCTCAATTCTGAACTCTTATGGGATACCACAGGACTGTTAGGACAGAATGTTTGTACTCAAGATGTTTGTACTCAAGAGTTAAGAGCCAATTTGCCAACATATACATGATAGGATCAAATTAAATATGACCAACCAGGGTGGACATTAGCTCAACTGTTATCATTTGTACAGTGCTGTGTACAATGGTAACTCAACAGAGCAAATAATCAAAGATGGCAAGCAAACAAATGCTTAGCTCTGCATAATAACAACCGTACATGATTGAACTATGCCCTTTAGTCACAAATAATTGACGCTTTCGGGGTGTCTGAAGTCAACCATTCCAAACTTCAACTACAAAATACCTATTACGTGTTGAGTTTGCAGGAACGTTTGAACATGATACGAATAGGTTTATCTTGAAACATAGTTTCACAGACACATTACATTAGAAGTCGCAATCAAAGTCTACAGTGGTTGACTTCAGACAACCTTAATAAAACATCACTTTGGAGGAAGTAGATAGTAGGTCACATGGCATAGTGGTTTGTGTGAAACATGGAATGAGAGGACCAGACCCATTTGAATTCTAAATTATTGAACAGCCCGTAATGATACTGAAAAACTCGCTCAATGTTCAAAACCCCAATTAAGCCATCATTTTCCCTTTAAGATGAGGCAAAGGAATTTTAGTATACAGTCATACATGACAAAACAACCTCTTGCAGTGTCACACAGCCACATGGGAGAAACTAATGAAAATAATTCCATCAGTGTATCTACTCCCTAGATAGTTCCTGGCTAGTACACTCATTATCAGATACAGTCATACAGATAACAATCCCATAACACCCTCACCTGGTGTTGCAATATTTGTGTAAAACAAAGCAGTCTAAAATAAGGGGGGAAATGAAGATGTCAATGTGCACCCTTAACCTTAATATCATTCGTGAAGCTATCAAACAGATGCATCCAATCAATTAATCAAGTCGATACTCCTATATCCAATTGGAGAACTCTGCCAACTAAATGCTAGGTCATAATGTCATACGAGGCCTCTGATACACAAACTATTACACATTAATCCGATGGCACGTCACCAAATCAAACATTAATCCCTGACGCATTTCAATCAAACAATGTCAGAAGGGAACGGAACAAATATCATAAAATCAAACAAGCAGCCAAATCGAAATGATGAGGTATACAGTCCATACCCCAGGGAAACTCCTTGTTGCGGATGTGCAGATAGGGGTACGCCTGCAACAACAACAAAAAAACATATCATTCTCAGGCCAAATCTAATCAGAGATTCGGAGAACTCGGGAGCGAGATCTGACCGGCGGCTCATCGAAGTGGGGGTGGCCCTTGGAGAGGTTGTAGGCCGCCAGGAGGGTGCAGGTCACGATCCCGGCGTAGGTGATCTTCTCCCACTTGGCCGTCTCATCTGCGAACGCGGAAAACAAAGGGCACCAAACCCAAATCAGGAACCGATCGGGTCTCGCAAAAGGAGAGAAGAACGGAAAGGGGTCAGCGACCACGGCGGCGAGATGTACGCACAGGCGTCGTCGTGGACGGAGGAGGACATGCGGCGCCTCAACGGGGCGGCGCGCGCCGCCAGCGACCGGAGGCCGGATCTCGCCGCCGCCGAAGCCATGGGTGGTGCCGCTGGTTTTTGGGGAACGAGTCGAGAATATGGCTGCGTCGTTCGTTCCGGGGAGCGTGGCTGACCTGGCTAGTGCCTTCCTAGCCTTCTTAATCCGCTGGTTTTGGTGGGCTTAGCAATCTGGGCCTTTTTTTTGGGCCGTGGGCTTTATGCTAAGTCACCTAATCCGACAGCAGCAGCCACCTCAAAACCGTTGACCTCTCAACTATTTGTACTTTGTTCCCCTAAAAAAAATTGTATTTTGTTCTAAAAAAAATATTTGTACTTTTTCCTTCTGTCACAACGGCCCGTTCGCTGGTCTGAAACTTGGCTGAAACTGGCTGAAAATACTATTCTAGCTAAATTGTTGTGAGAGAAAAACACTGTTCCGGCTGAAAAAAAGAAACCGAACAAACCGAATACAGGGTAAGCCGAACGTGGCCATCTGTTCCTACTCGGAAAAAAAAATGTTTCACCGGGAAGAAGTAAATGAAAGATGTTTGTAATAAAATGAAGGGAAAATATCCACCGAGGAAAGAGCATTGTTCATGGCTTAATTTCAGGTCCTGTTTGGTTGGGCTTTTGGCTTTAGCTTTTGGCTCCAAAAGCCAAAAGCCCAACCAAAGGGGCTGCTTTTGGAAGGTGCTTTTTCAGAAGCAGCTGCTTTTCCGTAGTTCATTTTTGAAAGCTGGGTTGACCCTGCTTTTGGCTTTTGGCTTTCTGCTTTTCGAAATTGGTGGAATAAAAAGCTCTTCCATAGTTGTTTCAAGAGAGATAAAGATAAAAGGTATATTTTATACTTGTTTAACCAAACAGCTTTCAGCTTTTCTACAGCTCACAACCCACATCAGCTTTTTCATAGCTCATAGCCCACAGTAACTTTTTCCCACAGCCACAGCTCAACCAAACAGGGCCTCAGTGTCCGTTACCAGATAAATAAATAAATAAAATTTGGTTCTTTAAAAACGAATTGGATGATTCATGATCGGTCGTTTTGATGAGTATGATAAATGTATCGGGATACTGCATGTCTGGCAAGTCAATGATACGTGGGTTGCAAACCGAGTGTATTCAGCCGATTGGGTTCTCTATGGTATGGTAGAACCTTATTATCCGAGTTTAAGTGCTCAACTTAACACGAGTGATGCTCGTATTTTTTTAAATTTATTTATATCAAGATTTAACAGCGTTATTCTTTTAGTGGTTGACGAAGTGCCCGTCGACAGCGAGACACCTGTGGGATGTGATGACTTCGTTAATCTCAAGATTTGCCGGTGTGCGTTCATAGGGGTGAGTGTGAGCTCGTGTATGTGAGCGTCTGCGTCGACTTCGTCAATCTCGAGATTTGCAAGTCCAATTTAGTTCTTTGGAGGTGCTCATAAAAATAAGGTGTGTGTACGTGTGTTCATAGGGATGAGTGTACGCTCGTGTATGTGAGCATCTGCGTTGTAACTTAGTCTCGAAAAAAAATGATATGTGGGTCCATTTAAACTAAAGACACTACTAGCGGAGCTCGAAGCCTCTTGGAGTCCGCACGATTTTCATTATGCAAAAGAGGATAGCTAGTAAATTATAATGTTCTTCTTTGATATGAGCCTGACAGATAGGGCAACCGATGGTTTAAGTTGCTTTTCTTCAAAACATCATTATTTGTCACCTCTTTCATATATACTCCATTCGTTCCAAATTATAAGTCGTTTTGACTTTTTTTTATATATCAACTTTGCTATGTATCTGGATATAACAATATGTCTAGATACATAGCAAAATCGATGTAACAAAAAGATTAAAACGACTTATAATTTGGAACGGATGGAGTACAAAACATTACTATATTAAGCTTCTAAATCACGTCTATTTTTCTG